TATATATATATACGCGGCGTCTCCCGAGAGACGCCTTCCGCCTCGCTTCCGTCATATACGTCATATAAATTCTCGTAACACCCAACAAGATAGGATCTATTATCGGCCTTACATTGTCTACGTCTTTAATCCTCGGTATTATCGCGACTTATATATATATACGCGGCGTCTCCCGAGAGACGCCTTCCGCCTCGCTTCTTTCGCGGCCGTCATATAAATTCTCGTAACACCCAACAAGATAGGATCTATTATCGGCCTTACATTGTCTACGTCTTTAATCCTCGGTATACGTCGAATTATCGCGACAATTTCACGAGGCGAAACACGTAATTCGTGGCGTTCCGCTCGGCGGTAACAAGTGTATCCGCGCTCGAAAACTGTGTCACCGTGCGCCTCGAGCGATCTCTCGCAGTCGCGTATCGCTCTCCGCGATACCGTACGCTGTAAAAAATTTTCTAAAAATTCAGATACATTTCTGTCTGAATTTTCAGATCTGGAGAAGCCAGATCTGACAATCTGTCTTGATCATCAGAGCCGTTTCTCTGGAAGAAAGTTCAGGAGCGTGCCTGAAAATTCAGACAGCGTGTCTGCGAAAAAGTTGCAGACTTCATCTGAAGTTTTAGCCAGGTTTTTTTTTTACAATTTTAAGGCGTTTGCCCGAAAGGGTCGCGAACCCTTTCAAGCCGAGCGAGTGATCGGATATATCCTATCGATTCTCTCGATCTGATCGATCGATCCATCCGCATCGATTCGATCCACGAAACGCGAAAGAATCTACGAGTGAATTTGATCAGAATTATCGGGAATGACTGATCGGTGGCTGTTTTTTTTTTTTTGTTTTGCCTTTTTCTTCCTCGAGGTGCGTCGTGATAAATAATAAACCTTTGCTATGCATTTATTAAGGCGCTCTAACATATTTTTAAAACTGCATAATCGATCACGTGCGTCACATATAATAGAAAAAACATATCGTCATTTTTTACACGTATCTCTATCAAGGTCAATCGATGATTAATTGCATCCGCTTCTCTCACTCTCGATATCATAAGATAAGACGAGAATTTCCTGGTATAAATGGTCTCGCGCGTGGAGAGGATCTTCGGCTACATAAGCGAGGAAAGTCGAAAGGCTTCGCGAGAGAAGGTGTACGTCACTGCGTTCGAGCGACCTCCTGTTGCGCCAGTCTGTATATACACACACAGATATACACACACACACACACACAAATATATATACAAAGTGTGTCTCCTTCGCATGGCAAAAAAAAAAAATTACTTTTCGTCCACTCGCAAATATTTATGATAATAAATTACTTCCATCGAAAAGACAAATATATCTCGTGTTATTATTCGCCAGCTCTTTGACGGTGTAAAACTCGACAAACTGGTAACTCGATAACGCAGAGTTTTTACGGACATTTCACGTAACGAATTCGACCGACTGGTTCGACCGAATTAAAGTCGGATAATTATCATATATCTGTGTTTAAAATCACACTTGTACGATTATATGTTCGTTCGTCGAGCGCGAGATGCAACCGTGGACACGGTAGCAGCGGTAAGTGGGGTGGATACAACAGGTCAATGATCTTCCGTTGGAAACCGGGTGGTCGAACGATTCGAATCGGCGTTGGATGGCATATTTGAATCCCGTATGTGTATATACGTAGACATGTATACTCTAGCGTTGATTAACAGACATACGATATACCGAGGGGGCGAAGTATTTTCCGGCAGTATATATCTTGTTTAACGATGAGATTTTACCGTCGCGATTTATATTAATCCACGGTATATATACACAGCTGGGCGATTTCGTTGCGCAATTTCATATTTTACATTCCATTGCTCTATTTAATGGCCGTTTATGCGCCGAATTACACGATTGACGTTCGCGAATGGACGTGGGTGACTCGGGTCGTCTCGCGCCCCGATGGGGGAGAATCGTACGCGGGGGCCCGCGAAATTCGTTGGTCGCCCCTCATGAGAGGGGGGAGGGGGGGGGGCCGGGCGAGCGTACCTTGTTGAAGTGCGTCTGAAGAAGCCGCTCATACTGGTCGACCGCACGCAGGCAGAGCCTCGTGGTGAACGCTTCCATTCGAGCTGGTAGGGGAGCGTGGCACACGCTGCTTGACATTATTTACTCCGTTTAATGGAAGACGCTGGATAGCACACTTGTCACGATACACGAGCGGGCGCGCGAAAGGTAGCCTTGCTCGATCTCACGCGCGAATTATTATACTGTTCCAGCACTCTCTTCTAAACGTTGTGGATCGTGGACGGACATAACCTCCATCGAGCGTGCCGTCAAGCTCACCGTCGACCCCGATGACGAATGCGAAACCTACACCTACGCCCTACGCCCGTAGGCGCCCGAGACACCGATTGGCCGCTCGGCCTCTCCTTCTTGCTCCCGTAGCATTCTCTCTCTCTCTCTCTCCCTTGCGCGCGCGCGTCGTCACCGCGTTCTTATATTATAAACTCTTACTCTTTCTCACTCCCTCTCTTGCTGCTTCTGCGCGCTGTATCGTGCGACGAGACGACAGGAGGAGCGCGTTGATTTCGTTTGACGTCACTGCGCGATGCGTATCAGCGTATGTACGCCGTACCACCGTGAGTAGCACTACTGAGCGACGAGAGAGCGCGAATGTAGTTTTATCGGTGCGTTCTCCCTCTCCGACCGCCAATACGTCGAGTAAGTTTCGACGTAAGTTGCTGGTAGTAATTTGCGGTTAGGAGGAGGCTGCGAGGAATAAATCAGACCCCCTTTTTCGCGCGCTCTCGCGAGGGATCGTGTGTCGGTCGTCTGAGAAAGCAAGCCCTAGAGATGCTTATCGACGTTATCAAATATTCGATTTTTTTATTCTATCGAATACAAAAAAATATTTAAAAAATATTAATTACTTTTAAAATATTTACGAATTATATTTTTTAATTATACTATACACAATAATATATACATATATCATATAATTATATTAGTTTATTAAATACAAAAATTATTCTTAATAATATTAATATATTCTTAAAAATTATTCTCTTATATTCATAATTTTTACTGCAAGAAAAATTTTGAGATTATAATCTGAAAAAAAGCTAATTTGAAATTATATTGTAAAGTTTTTTTATAGCTTTTTTAAGAATACTGTCTGAAATATAAATTATTTTTAATTGATATATTCATACAATACTTTTTAGCTGGATATCGATATTTGTATTTTTTATTCGAGCAGTCCTATATTTCATTAAGAATATCGATATATATACAGTGTCGGACTTTTATATTCTTTGTCTTATTAGAACCCAGCGAACTCTCAAGTATTTTCCTCTTTTCCTTCAATTCTCATATATCCTTCCCTCATATTCTACACATATACACACACACACATATGTACACGGACAAAATATTTTTATTGTAGACATACATGTTTAAGCGGAAAATGTGAAAAAAATAGAAAAATATGTAAGAAAAGAAAGAACAGAAAAGCTCTACTGTTTCGAGATATGTAATTGCAATTATACTTTATGTCAATCTGTTTTATCGTAAATTTTACGTCATCTTTGCAAATTTGAATCGCGTTCCGACCTGCATTCGCAAAAAATTAGCCTTCTTCAGCAAGTTTTCCCAAAATTCGTTTCGATGAAATTCGATCGCAGATTATCGATTCTTGCCTACAAATGTGTTCTGTTCGTTTCTCGAAAATCTATTCGCGTCTCTATATGCTTGAGTCACAAGATTAGGATGTTTTTCCGTGAAGAATGCTGGATCTCTGCCGGATCCGTCAACATTTTTCAAACTTGACGTAAGCTCATTTTTTTTTTTTCATTTAAACCGGTAAGAACCGAGCTTTTTGGAATTCTTATCGGAGAATTTTCGCGTATCGTTGATTCACTTCCGACTACAAAACGTACGCACGTACAACATCCGCGATGAATCAGGATAAATCCCATTAAAAAACACCCACGCTCTCCGGAAACATCAAGAGGCGTGTCATGATGATGACGTAAAACGGAACGTGAAGTCAATGGGACAATTTTTTTTTTTTTTTTTTTTTACGGAAAATCTTAGCAAATTCGTCGATATTAATTGTTTGTTACTTTACTGCCGAGGTGCTTTTTTAACGGCTCGTATAACATACCGGTCGATGCCGTTATCTCGCATGATTCCCGGTCATCTGCGATGGTACGCTTTCGATACTCGTTTGACGTAAGTCGGATCGTGTTTATCACGGAGAAAGTCGACGTCCGACTATCTTTTTTTTACGCTTCGCTTCGTAAATTTTGAGAAATCGGAATCACGGCTCGCACCGACTAACGTCACGGTGATAGTTTCGCGAATTTCACCAGCGATGCATCCGCTGAGAGTTGGCCTAAAAGCCCGTATCAGACTACATTGTTAAAAATGGAAGATTAAAGCTTGCAATTTAATTAATTAGAAGGAGAATAAAGGAAGGAAATTAATTAAAATTTCTTTGTCCTGATTGGTCAAATTTCAATCTTCAATGCATAGTTTAATAAGGATCTAATTCTCATTCCCTTTTGTCGTTGGCGAGAAAAGTGATCGACCACGAAAACACGAGGTAAGCCTCCGGTTGACGTGCAATTTTTTGCGTATTCCTTCCTTGCAAAAAACTCGTAAATCGAAATATACAGATATATACTGGATAATCGCGCGCGTTAAAGATATCTTGATATGACGCGCGAGTCGCACTTATTAAGGTCGCACGATCTGTCAAAAGTTGTATACATTGAGGGAACGAACGCGAACGCGTGAATGCGAATGCTTGCCGTTAAAATTCGGAAGATGTGAACGATTGCGAATGGTACTTTTGCCAGCGTTTTTGGTTCACGTTTCAACGCATCAACGCTCATGAAGCGGTCAAAGAAAACTCACGTACAATGGATGAAAATACAACGGGAATGTTTGATAAAACGCGAAAAGAAAAGAATAAACAAACACGAATACCCGAAAATTTGCACTCGCTGTCGGCTCGTTTATATATACTGTAAGAAATTTTTTAAACATTTAGACACATTTTTATTTGAATTTTCAGATCTGACAATGAATGTCTGAAAGAAATTTCAGACAATTTGTCTTAATTATCAAAGCCGTTTTTCTAAAAGTTCAGAAGAGTGTGTCTGAAAATTTAGACAGCATCCCGTCTGAAAATTCAGACAGTGTGTCTGCAAAAAAGCTGCAGACAGTTTGTCTGAAATTTCAGTCAATTTTTTTACAGTGTATGCTCATCTTTACGTATCGCGTGGTAGCGATACCTCCAACATCGACATTTACGAGGCTACTGGCGTCATCCGATAATACGAAAAATTTGCATATTACGAATATAAACTCCATTAGGATTGGAAGAAAAAAATCATCGAGCATCGCGATACGGTTAAGTAATAAATTAAGTAATAATAAATATGCATAATATACAAGAAAAACAAAGTTGTTAACTTGATTAAAACCGTTCAACTAATTATCATTTTTTTTTATTGAAATATTTAAGTATTTAAGTCAAATACGACATATTAAATCTAATGTATATTTGATTTAAATACTTAAATATTTCAATTTAGAAAGTGGTAATTAGTTGAACGGATTTAGTCAAGTTAACAACTTTTTTTCTCAGTGTAGAAACGTTTATACTATACTTACATCATTAATCGCATTAATCTTCTAGTAGCGAAATACATCCGTTTCTATTGTAATTTATTTGCGAAAGTCATGTGATTACACATCCTTGCTTAATTAAGGAAACCGCGTTTGCAATAAGTGACGAGTCATCTTCCGAGATTTTTCTCGAATCTTATATAGGTATACAAGTCTGTACGATGAGATACGTATTTGTCATTCGTATTTCTTAACGTTACTTGATAATGCAAAAGGCAAAACGCCAGATTGACGAGCGTTGAAAGCATGCCAAAGGATAAGCGTTTCCCATCTTCGAGATCTAAAACCGACGTTTCGGTACAAGATATAATGTAATAAAGCATCTTTAACGAGATTGCTGCCTCTTAGCGTTAATCGAGCGCGATTTCGCTCCTCAAGTCCTTGGACAAGTACACGCCCACGTGTGCCCCGCGCGACCGACAACGATAACAACCATGTGCGATGTACCGTGTCGCGAAAATATTCATCGCTTCATCTCCCGCTCGATTTCCCGTGAGACTGTTATTTTTTGCGATATTAAAAATAAAAGAGAAAGATTTTGCGGATTTGCTATTTCGGAATCGATCTCGCCGGGATGTACCTCACATTTGTTTCTTCGAAAAGTATCGCCGATTTCTCTCTCTCTCTCTCTCTCCAATCTCGAATGACGTCAAACGAATTCGAAATAATCTCCATTAAATATCGCAAAAACATCAGGCCGACAATTAAGATAAAATCCTTGAGGAATTAAAAATATCCTAGATCGAAAGAGAATAATATCGCGCGAATACACGTGATTAAAAAAAAAAAAAATTGGAAATGAAAAAAGTTAATTAAGTCGATTGGAACTTACTTATATCCGATGACGACTGTATCATTAATTAACCATAATAATAATTACGATCGTATATATCGTTGATTTAACGAATAGCTTGTATAAATCGCTAGAACTTGATATCTTCAACATTTTTTTCTCTTCGTCAAGTATGTACGCAAATATACTCGCGAAGCGAGAAGGAAACTTGTAATTTATAATTATTGTTTTTGTTGCATGGGGAGCGGCCAACCGTGAAGTACGGTGTGATTCTCTTTTCGTTTCCGATCATTGTTATATCTCATTATATGCGCGTGTCCGTGACGAATTTATCTTCCTTCCTGCCTTTCGCATTCCTCCAGTTTTATCTAATCCGAATACGACAACGCGGAAAACTGCGTGATAAAACATTTCCGCGCTCAAGTATCGATATTTCCACGCGATTTCTACGCGATGAGACTCTTTCTCTCGCATCTCTCAAATGCGTGATTTTTTATATTACATATATGTATATTCTTGCATTCATCGACGATTGAGCCGATGTAATATGTGGATTCCGAGCGCGTCTATCGTTATTCTTATCTGCGCATTAACGCGCGCGCGATTAGCAATTTAATGAAGCCCCGACGTAGTTGCATCAAAGATGTTTAAAAATAAAATCAGTTAATCGCGAAACAGGTTCCGGAATCCCGCTATCCCGAGTCCGTTGTTGCGAGTTTTTTCGTCCATTCTACGTGTCGTTCCACAATTAATTTAGCGATTCTTCGAGATCGTAAAAAAAAAAAATTATAATATTATTAATATCGTCATTCGATTGCGAAAATATGAGCGCGATGGACACAACGCGAGATGGATTATTAATGATACTATTTATAGATATATGATGCACGCACACGCAAAAATAATCGATAATCGGTATCAATGACAATTCTATCGCCTCTGATATAGATACGCGAGTTCCGATACCGCGTATGCTTGCAAAATAAAAGCATTCCTGGCGCATTTTCGTTGCGACAATTACATCCATTGACGTCGACGGTTACCAGTTTTTCCTTATTTTCTTCAACAATACCATTGTCTCTTTCACCTTCCTTCTTCTACGGATGTTCGCGATCCGCCAGAGCGGCGATAAAGCCGCTCCGGATCCGTTAATATAATCGAGAGTACTCTGCCTGCCTGCTCTTCGCGTCTCGAAATTCACGCTCGTCAGCGCTGAAAAGACGAAGAGAGGAGAACCGCGAAGGCGCTAACGAGGATCGCTACTTGCCGTGCAAATTGACGTTACTGAACGTGGAAATTTTTTCAACG